CTCCAATGAATCCAAATGAAACATTTGTGAGGGAGCCTGAATAGCCTTTCTCTATCTAGCAGCATTTTTGCTTTCCAAAAAGCTATTCCAAGGCAGGTAGGAATGCATACATTATGAACGATGAATGTCTCTGAGGAAAGCTGGTGGAAAGTGTGGAAAAATAAGGTTGGTCGGGAACACCTCTATTTCTAACAAGTCCCCACAACCCTCATTTCTTAAAGGGAGGGGATGTCGCAGTGGCGTTCTAGAGAGCGCTCTCAGCGCTATAGTACTATATGTACTTGTACACGCAGCTCTAGTGAAACGTTTCAATCTTATAAAACTTTACAGTCAGGGTACAGCATCATGATGTGTGAAATGATGGTGTAGGTACGACCCCCTCTTCCGAGAGAGGGTGCAGTACTACCCTCCACCCCCCTAAAAGGGAGTCTCGGTACGACCGCTCCCTCTTCCCCCAACACCTACCCACCAATTTCTCACAATTTCCAGTTTTTCACCCAAAGGTGGGTGAAAAACCCAAGGGGGGAGGGGGTATATGTGAAACGCCAATGTAAAAAGGAAAACTTCCTGAACTGTCCCCGAGTTCCTACCACTTTTTCGGGAATACCCAAAAATTTTGCTGTTGAATGCGGGGGAGGGCATATAGTACACATGAAACAGGAAAAATCAAAAAGTCAACAACCGAGAAAACTTTTCCTCCATCACAGCAAGTTTTTCTTGTAGGCACATACTAGCCCGACTCCCAACAACAGAATACGACTCCCTCCCCAGTGGAAGGGTACGACCCCCCCCCCTATGTGTTTCACCCAACGATGCTGCACCCTGTTTACACTCCGTGTTCCCACCCATCGGGGGAATCGAGGATATGGAACGCACTAAATATATGTTTCTCAAGAACCTTGCATTATAAAAATCCATGGATTTGAACAGGTAAACAAAAGCAAATGGTAGAGGCAGGAGATAATGGTATAAAAACGCAGCGCATTTGAATATTTTTTGAATGTATAGGATATTGGGCGGCAAAGGAAATCATGGCTACAACATTGATGTCACCAATATACAGGGGGGAGCTAAAAAAAGCCACTTCGACCAAGTCACATATCAGCAAAGTTTTCGCTGCCCAGAGAGAAGACGTGGATACGAGTACTGTCCTCATCATTACGGACTGGGGGCGTGTCAGCCAGTAGGAGTGCGCACACTGTTGAAGCCGTTCTCAGCCTTTTTGTTGAAACGCGTATGCGACAAAAAGTGGTAGAAAACGAGTAATACGAAGGATATAATACAGTAATGTCACTTGCCCGCTTCAACAATTGGTGCAGAACGACTTCGGTACCGCGCCAAACGCAGCACTGAAACGCCCCGACAGTCCGTAATGATGAGGATTGTACCAGGGCGAAAGATACCCAAGATGTTCCTCGATAAGCAGGAGCTGGCTCTCGCCCATCACCTTCATGTACACCAAAATATGAAGTCATCTCCAGTCGCAGCCTGACTGGAGAAGACCTTTGGAATTCATGTCACCTCCAAACAGCTGCGAAACTTCTAGTATGGAGTCACCCATGGATAGCTACCTGGAGACCAGTACTCTCGATCTGGAAGACCTCCAACATCGAGCAGCTCCGACAACGTCGCTACGGTCTAGGACATCATCTTCACCTCAGTCGCCAAGGCGCCAGTTGATGGTGGGGACCGGACGTACCTGGAATGGAAGACCGATATTTTCTTCGTGGGCCCCGGACTGAAGCGCTAGCGGTTACATCGAGCAACTCGAGAAGAATATCCTCCTCACATGTCGTCGCCCGTACCTTCTTGGAAACTTTGTACTGCTACAGCATTGGGTGCCACCACATGGAATCGAAGGGCGTTGGAGAAACTCTCGCCTACTTGGAATGGAAGGGGGCTGAGTACCTAAAGAAGATGGAATATCCAAGTAGGTCACCTGACCT